ACCTATGGTGAGTAAAATGGCGGCTCGTCTCTGATTCCAGCAAAGAGAAGAAAGGAAACAGTGGGGACGCACGTTCAAACCTAACCTAACCTATTCTAATAATTTGGTTGGTAATAATTATGGTAATTTATTAGAATAGGTTAGGTTAGAACGTGCGTCCCTACTGTTTCCTTTCTTCTGTTTTCTGGAATCAGAGACGAGCCGCCATTTTACTCACCATAGGTAACATTAACTGCACAATTATATTAATGATTTAATTATGCAGTTAATCGTTATATGTGATATAATTTGTGCAGAAAAAGTATGATAACTTTATTATTTTTCGTCTCCGGTCCAAAAGTAGGGTATCGTTGAAGTCGTCTCGGTCCCCTCAGTTCAGATATAGTCTATATTCAAAGTCCCGAAATTCCATAAATAGTTATCTATATAATAATTTCCCTAATTGTATTAATATTTTAAACTGTTTGATTTTTTGTATGTTTTTTAATTGGTTGATGATTGATTCTATCAACTAATTTGTCGATTGTTTGATTGTATTAACTTGATTCTTTAGATATCGAAAATTAAATAAAGAACATTATGTTAATTTAACCGTACAGAAACGTTGCTGTTGTTTCAGCAAAGATCTTATTTTCACTTTACCGAGTGCCTAGTAGGGTAATTTGCAGATTACCTAGATAATCTGCACATTACCTAGGTAATTTGAGAAATATAACAATTTTAGCAACTTTAACGGATCACCCCAGTTAACCTGCAGATTAGCTAGGTGGAGCTAGGTAATCTGCAGATTAACGACTTTCGAGCTTTAGCGGTAACATATATACTAGTAGCCCGGGACGCCCCCTAGTGGGCGTTCCAGCAGCATTACAAATTCCTGAGGCTCATGAGTTTCATTCTACAAGCCTCCATGTGTTGATTGTGCTATTCTCTGTAATCTTTCCTGCGCACGTCTCTCAATTTGTCTCGCAGCAGCGGCATCTTTACGTTCCTCCACAGTGGCGTATTTCTTTGATCGTGCCATGAAAGGTTTCTATTATTATATTAAAAAATTAGCTTAACTATTTCAAACCTTATCGTTTTATCGTAGCGGTTCAAATCTATCCGGTTTTTCGTTATTCGCCTCCTAGTGAACATTACAGGCATTCCGTGACAATAATAAATTCCTATTACAAATATAATGAATTATTTATATTGTTATATTGACCAAATAATAATTTATTGGCCAAATGAATAATAATAATTTATATTGTTCATTTAAATAATAATTAAAATTGTTAATTTAATTTGAATGTTTTAAATATGACACACGATAGGGGCGCCTCTAGTGTCCGTTATCAAACGGTTACGGGACAGACGGACAGTTGAATGGGTTATATATATAGATAAACTTTTAATGTGCAGTTTTTAACACTTAACGATTAACTTCAAAGTTGTGCATAAATTACGTAACGCAGATATGAGTGAGTGGGTATGCTGTGATCGTCGATTAGGGATTGCATTGCCGATAAACGGTTTACTGCTTCACCGGCAATCAGATAAAAAACCCTGTATTGGTAAATATACTAGTAATTTGATATTTTTACTTTAAATTCGGTAAAAAAATAAGTACACATGTAATAATATTTTGCAGCCAAATATTTATTTGTATAATCAAACTTAGATTATCTGAAAAGTTTTCTGTTTTCGAAAACAATCGGCGANTTTTTATATGCATTTTATTATAAGAATGAAAAAGCTTTTATTTAAACCCAAAACCAGGTTTATGGATAAATAAATGACACTTAATAAAACATTAAACACCTTCTATCGCTGAGAAATGTTTATTTAATAAAACACTAACATTTTCAGCCTCATGGAATAAACTATCCTCAGGTGTAAATGAGTTCGAACGTATTTTATTAAATAAACATTTCTCAGCGATGGAAGGTGTTTAATGCTTTATTAAGTGTTTTAAAAACGCTGATTTTATATTTAGTTAAATAAATGACAAGGAACAAAACTGACACAATAGTATTATTATTATTAAATTGTGCTATTATGTGAATTTATTATACGTTAAAAATTTATTATACATACAAACAAATTATATTATACATATTAATAATAATTATTATTATTATTATTTGCGTTATTAAAATTTACTTTAAGCGAGAAATTTTTCTATGGTTTTTACTTTCAACTGATGAAATAAATGATTGATTAATCGTTTGCGTGAAAAAATGCAATCGACAGGTAACAAAAAAGTGCAAAAATCTGAAAGTCAAGTAGGACTTGTGACCAGCATTGTCACATCCTATCATCGATGTAACAGAACACTGATTTAATATAATATCCATTATTGAAAAATAAACATCCATGTTTGGGTTTGTTAATTTTTCATATACTGTACTTTGCTTTCTGCCCAGTGTAAACGTTTAGAATGTGTAAGACAAAGTATTACAACCAAATTACGAAGAACGAACAGTTTATTATCAAAGTTGTTAATTAACAGGATACCGATGCCCGTCACAGACACGAAATTACAGATATAGTTACAAACGAGTCTCTGCTCTCGTTCAGTTTTCTTACATAAATTTGACCACGTGATCCTATTATAACTAAACTACTTATAACTAACCTTAACCTAATACTATGACTAATAGAAAAGATGAAGAAAGAAGAAAAAGGGGTCTACCGGTAGTTAGCAAAACGGGGTCCTGATCTGGGTGGTCGATCACTGTGGATGTCCAATCCGTTAACATCGGATTTTATACTGTGCCTTGGTTGTCAAATCTGCACCGAAGTATCTCTTCAGACTTTACCGGAACGAGTCTCTTGATTAGTTCTTGACTCTGTCCCTTTGGTTCTCTAGGCTCTCTCTGGGCACCCAGAGAGAGCCTAGAGAGCCTAGAGAACCAAAGGGACAGAGTCAAGAACTAATCAAGAGACTCGTTCCGGTAAAGTCTGAACCCAGAGAGAGCCTAGAGAACCAAAGGGACACACAATTCGAAAGTGAACACATACGTTAACAAGAAATATGGCTGGAAACCGCCATATTTCTTGTTAACGTATGTGTTCACTTTCGAATTGGACAAGCAAGCACGAATACACGTGCTAATGACATCACATCCGGTTATCAGAATTAGCACTGCTAACTCAGAAGTAAACGCACCCTCTCTGTCGATGTTGACTAACTTGCGTGCCAGAGGAGTCGTCCACAACTTGCCTTCTCGGTGTCCAACCCAAAAGTGGTCGTCTTTCTTACCCTTTGTCTTAAAAAAACCCCACGGGCAGGACCCCTCCCTGTCCCTGTTGGCAAATCACCAATCAGGACCCACGAAATTCCCGCTCCTATCAGGTGACAGGAAAGGGTTATTAGCAGAAGGAAGAAGGAGGAAAGGAAAGAATAAAGGAATTCTAAATCTATATACAGTATTTACATAGACAAAAATGGCGGACAGCAACACCAGTACATCAATTGGCAAAGCTTATAGCTTGGATATAACAAACCTCCTCGAGATTTGATGAATGTAAATGCCTTCTCTGGTGCAGCATCCTCGGGTTTTGCTGTTAATATATTTTTGCATTCATCACAACCGAGTGATGGCAGTAGACGATAAACAATGTAATCTTCTAAATAATGTAGGATAAACTTAAATGTTTCTGGTGTACAATAATCATGATCTAATAATTCACTATCACTAGGATCTCCATAGTATAGGCTTGGATCACAAAGCAAATTTTCTAAATGTTCTTCCAATTGTTCTTGAACTTCTTTAAATGTTTTTTTATGACTATGAAGAAGATTTTTTAAAGTAATAAGGATAGATTCAGGATCAGTTTGAACTGATGCTCGTTTGGGAGGACGAACCAAACTGTACACAGTCATCAGTCTGTACAGGTATAAGAACTGTACTGTTGTGGGATGAGAATTGCTTCCACTTCCTTGTCTTATCATTCCAAAGAAACGCTAATTGAAAAGAAAACATAAGTTAAGGTTTAATACAAGATTATATAATCA